GATTTGGATCAGTAACCTTTACAAGCGTTAGATGATAGTAGATTTAAATGACTGAATGACATGCAAGCTATTCGAAAACTCTATTGAACCTCATAGAATAGATTCACAGATAACAGCAGGATTCTTAAACAGCAGAAAACCTACGTGTTCATTGTTGAGAATGAGCTGTTGTCGTAGATTTAATAAAAGCATAAGTTTTTCCGAAGATGCAGCCAAACAGAAAGAAACTAACTGATATATTATCAATCGAGGCTTCCTCGAAATATAGTTAAAGCAGTATTTCGGTATTATTCGAAAAGATATATACAAAGGAGAGAAGAGTAATTTGCTGATCCAGAAAAGCCTAATTGATGAGGTCTTTTTTCAGATGTCATAACTTATGCAATGTTCGCCCATTGCAGCCGGAGACACTATCGGTATATTTTAAATGTTACTCGTAGTACTGATAACAGTAAGGAATCGAGCTGTTTCTTGCTGACACTTGACAAATTTTTTCGAATGTCGGTTCAAACATGGCAGCTACCAGAAGAAAAGTTTTTCATACGTTTGAAGGTGATCATCTTTTTTCTTTCGATGTACCAATTGATATGATCTACACTTTTCCCACCAACCGTTATCATTGATGTCTATTTATAGATATTATTGAAACTATAAACTCGATCATTTGACTTTATTGTCATCTTAATGTTATTAAGCAGAATATCCATAACAATCGCAACTCAAGAAGAGAGGTGAAGGAGCAGAAATTATCTTTGACCATTTCATCTTAGTGAGATATAGTTTCTGCAAAATACTATGAGTTCATAATATTCAGATTGCGAACAAACATATTTCGTCCGCACATGTTCAAACATAGACAAAACCGAACATAGCTTGCATAGACAATATTCGTAGTCTTCTTTAACAAGCCCAAATAAAATCTCACATTTCCCCACGAAGAAAAACTTTCTACGTTGGAATACCTTAATATACTTTTCTTTCAAAATTAATCTCACTTTAATAAATTTTTTGTAAATGTCGAAAAGAGGACGAAATAACTTCGATATGCCTTTTATGTATAGAAATTCTACGAAAGTTTTACTTCTCCAAGTAACAATTCTATAAATGACGATTATGATGTCTTGATCAAGGTTCGAGAGTGTGGGTGTGGGTGTGTGGGTATATCTGTCTGCACTCAAACCACACCCACACCCACACCCACACCCTTCACGTGCAGGGTGGTGCCTGCTGGCCGTTTTGCTGAACAACTACCAATTCTTGGCGACGGAAAAATACTAGCTGATCCGATCACTGGACTCGTCAGCATTCCAAACAACTTTTGTAATATAATTGAGTCAGTTTAAGTATTAAAAATCAGTGTGTTCCCAAATATTCGACACCATTTTAATGATCATAAATGGCTCTGTGAACGTGCTATTGTTGCTCCGAAGAACGACAGCATAAATGCCATCAATTTACAGATTCAACAACAGTTGCCTGGAGAAGAGATATCATACAAGTCAACATAGGTGGCGGAAGCTGGAGGCTGGGTGAGGCATGAGCCTCACCAGAATTTGGTGTCTGGAGGCTCAGCCTTACCCAAATTATGAATACGATATTTTTTTGCACGATGGTTTAGACTTATCAAATGAATATTATTTCAGTGCGAAGATTCGAACTTCTAATATATTTATTTATATGTTGTGATCATAGGCGGCGGAAGGTATAGGCTTGATAGGCTTGAGCCTCACCAGAATTAGAATTTCAAGGATGGGTCAAATTCGAATCTGATATTATTTGGCTAGATCAACCTTCTATTAGTTAAGATATTGAAACCTTTTAGGCGTTTATCTATATATAACGATGAAGCAAACTTGAAAAACGAGACGGTACTAAAGCCTACTATCTATGCCGTCATAATTCGTCACAACATCTTTGTTTTATTCACATAGAGTGTTGTACAAACCAAAACGATTATAGAATAATGCAGTCAATGTCAGAACTATTTGTATTCAAGCGTTTGTCTTCATCTTCGTGATGTATCACTCATTTCTCTATATTGAGTGAAAGCACAGTCCTAATAAAGTATGGGTGTGGACACAGGGGAAATAACAGATTCCGGGATTCCTGGGTTCCATATGATTCCGAGGAACTCCAAGATATTTTCAAGATCTAAAAAACGGTAGAATTATTTGAGAATCCTTCAGTCTCTTTTATCATACGAATGTTTCCTGTTCTGTGCTCTATGATGGACAGTGAACGACCACGGTACTACTATAAAAAGTGATGTAAACATTCACGCAAGCGGTGTGCATAATACTTAGTAATTTCGATCTTAAAAAACGGATTACCTGACTACTTGCAATAGCTTGTATTTTAGATTGATAATCAAATTGAAAAAGATAAGTGTTAATGAAAACAAAAATAAAAGCAAAACCTATAATTATTCAATAGCTGAAACCTGTGAAACAACAATAAGTAAATCAGTTAGTAATGGTGTGGGTGTGAAAGCAAAATCAACGATCCACACCCACACCCACACAGTGGACAGCCAGGTGACAAAATCAATTTTCGAGATTCGAACCCATATCGTAGCTAGCATTGAAGCTACTATGGTCCTGATTTAAGAGTATCTTGGATGTCGCTCTATAGCGAGTATGCATTAAATATCAGGTACCACAAAGTACGTAAAATAGGTGAATATCATTAATTAGATCATATAAGTAAAATTTATATTTTTAATTGATGATCTACTTATATTTTGTAGTCATCAAATACTTGTACAGTGTTATGTATTTGCTATATATTGCAGGCCGTCCGGACTTCTTGAAGCTCTTTAGGCTATAAGATCAAAAACTTCCAATCAGTATGGTGAAAAATAGTCACTGATCTGTAATGCAGTTCATTTGCTGGATTTTGTCGGAGTTCAAATGGAAGTTTTAATCTATCTATTGATAGAACGTATCATCATCTATCTTCAATAGATCCTCAAAGATGCGCCATTGAACCCTTGTCGAGATTTTTTATTTTTATGACATTTTTTAGTACACCGTCATGGTCTCCCTCAAGCTCACTGAAAAATCGACTTTCGAATTTCGACTTGAAACTTTGAGCAGAGAAAGGTCTCAATAAGACTGGTTTATTCTGAAATTCTGAAATTTCTTCGTTGCTCCTATCTTTAAATATGAACACTTAACATTTTGTGCTTTAAGTAATGTGAAAAAAAAAGTACTTTTTCTTACACTCGTATCTCAAGAGAGAAGGAACCCAAAAATCTGAAACCATAAGAACAAACTAGTCTGATTGAAACCCTTCTCTGCACAAACTTTCAAATCGAAATTTGAAAGTTGATTTTCCAAGTAAATCTGACAAAGATCACGGGGTTCTGCTGAAAATTGCTGTAAAAATCAAATATCTTGATAGAAATAAGCAAGAAGCACGAGTCTTTTTCACAGTGTTCATAGCTCATTAGAGCCTACATAATGCACATAGTCTCGACCCAATAGCGATTTGGCACCTGGCAATTGCTTCTGATCCCTTTTTTCTGTCCAACGTGACCCACACCCTCCAGATAGCTGCGACCCATCTCCTCAATTATTTCTATCCTATCTGATATAATGATCGACAAAAAAAAATTAAAAAATAACTGTTTATAATTTTTATAAAGGGCTTTTGCAGAAAAAACGAAAATATTTCGGCATTCCATGGGACTTCAAGGGTTCCATGAGGTTACAAGGGACTCCAAAGAGTTGAAATCTGCCGTTTTCCCTTTGGGGTATTGGTGTGGATGTCGAAGAAGAAAACAAAACAAACCAAAGCCAACCAAAGCCAACACCCACCCCCATCCACACCCTTTCGTCAACGAAGACATTGATAGAAGAAAAAAGTTACTTAGGATAATAGAAAAAAGTTTTTTACTGAGCCTCATCTGATTTGGAAACGTTCCGCCGCCCCTGCAAGTCAATTGACACAGTTGTGGACATCAACCAAACAGTACAGTATCCCACTATATTTCTCAACTCACTGGAGCCTTCTGGAATGCCGCCACATAACCTGGTGCTCAAGGTTGGTTTTCCTATTATGCTGCTGAGGAATCTAGATGCACCAAGATTATGCAATGGTACAAGACTATGTGTCAAAAGTCTAATGCCGCATGTTATTGAAGCAACAATCTTGACAGGCTGTGCAAAAGGAGAAGATGTATTCATACCGCGGATACCCATCATTCCTACAGATATGCCTTTTGAATTCAAACGTCTACAATTTCCAGTGCGTCTCGCCTTTGCGATGTCTATCAACAAAGCTCAAGGACAATCTCTTAAGTTTGCTGGCATTAACCTAGAGACACCTTGCTTTTCTCATGGTCAACTCTACGTTGCGTGTTCAAGAATTGGAACTGGTAAGAATTTATACATTTTTGCTCCTGATGCGAAAACTAAAAACATTGTGTATCAATCTGCTTTCAATAAAAACTGTTTTTCAATGTAGATAGCTTTTTTTAAAAATGTTCTACTATGCCAACGACGCAATATCAGATTTGCCCGGGCAACGCTGGGTATTTCCGCTAGTCCTCTATAATAGCGACTTTCCATCATTTTAGTTCATTCGATATACGTTACGTCAAGATGTGTTTCACATTTTAATCCTGTAGAGATTGGGCTGAAAACACTTGTTGAGCATTGTTCAATTATGAAGATTATTGGTTCATATACCCTAGGTGAATAGGATTGTAAATATAAAGTTTTCTCAACACCGAACTCCTCAGATATTACAGTAGAGTATCGGGGAATTAAGAAAAAGAATCACTTCTAGTGATTTTGTCGTCAGTTAACGGGGGTGTGGCCGTTGTTTAGAAAACCTTTTTGAGGAAAAAGCAACAGTTTTCATTGTTATTACTCAATTAGAGGCTTTTATTCAGAGCTCACTAGGTCGTTTTTATTTCATCGGAAAATAGTTCCGAGAAAAGTATACCTAAAACGAAAGAGGACTGACGTATGCAACACACAAATTCGCATTGTCATCTATTTATTCTCATTTTTTAACACAAGTACTTGACCAGCATGACCAATATTGACAGCTACCGAAGCCGGAAGATAGAATGGTTCGCCATCCATTTGTGCCGTCATTGGACTCCAAAGCTCGATACGTAATTGACTACATTGGGCGATTCGTTTGCCATGAAAACCAATATGGATCGCCGCCATATGTGCAGCATTCAATCCAACAACTTCGATTTTTTGATCGCCGAAATCTTGTCGATCGAAATGATCATTTGGGACTGTGGCCACAGATCGACTCGCTATTTGATTCGTATCACAATTGTCCACAATGATCCATCCATCGGTTTCGTGAATATCGACTGGCGAATCGAATAACGCGACAGAGTTGTCATCTTTTTGAATTGATGATTGACTGACATTGCCTGTGGTCGAGCTAGTCGATGAAAATTTCCCCCATGGATTCGTACCAGATGCATAGCCTGGAATATTGAGTATGACCAGCGTGTGACAACCACGTGTAGCGTCAGTCAAATTGTAGCCATCGCATGTCAAACGAATATAAGAGCTAAGATCCCACATATTTGCTGTAGCAAAATCGTTTAAATATTTGGAACTTTCGTTCAGATACATGAGCTTATTTTTCCATGGTGATGAAAATTTGGATGGATTACGCGTGCGTTCTTCGTGAAAATCGAGGGCGATTGCCGCGTCTAAGCCAAAGCTCATGTAATTGATAAAGCATGCGTTCGGTAATTCGTGACGATCTTGGTAGGAAGCTCGATTAGTTTCACGAACGAATTTCGGATGGCTGCCTAATAGATGGAATGCTCGGCTGATATGAAATCCACACTTATGATGTTCTTGTGCTGATGAAGTCGATGTTGTCACCTCGAGCTGTTCGAGTTGGACTTTCCAACGATCGAGTGTAACCACTCTAGCTTCAGGAATTTGGACTAGCATTTGAAAAAGACGTTTCGGATCGTACTGTTCTCCCCAGGCTAATACGCGTGACAGATCATTGCCAGTTCCTAACGGACAAATGCCCACCGGTGGATTATTTCTTGATGGATAAGTCTCGGCCAAACGACCAAGAATCCAACCAACAGTACCATCACCACCGAAAACACAAATACGAGTATTTGGTAGCGAATAGTACGTATCAAGAGCGTGGGTAATGGTAGTATTGTTTTCTAGAAGAAATACTTGACGTGGATTAAGTTTTCGTAAGAGTTCTCGATAGATTTTCTCGCCAATTTGACCACCAGAACGTTTGTTTATGAAGAGAAGAACGGGTGTATACGGAAAAGCATTGATTAAATACGGTGGCAATTGGGCTCGGAAGCCAGTTGGAGATTCGCTGGAACGACGAAGCCATTGTGGTCGAACAATGATCTTTCTATTAAAGAAAATCAAAATATTCTTCAACTTGGAAAAACTCATCGATCCAGTCAGAAAACAGAGCCTACAAATACTTGTCTGATCTGCATGATCATTATCAAGAACCTACCGAAATATTCCATAATCACATTGCATCTTATCATCTTGAGCAATAAGTTCCCAGCACGACCGATGATAATTTCGTGAGCACCATAAACAAACGAGACCATTGGAAGATTCGGACATTCTTGGATTAGAATTTCCAGGTATACAACTCATGACCGATCTGACTTCATCTATGATATCTGAAGCAGACATAGTCGCTCGTCGACCACTTTCACTACTGAACAAGGTCGTAGCCATCGAAGTTCGTTGACAATGCGCGCACGGTTTCTGAAGAACGGACACACGGAGCCAAAAATGTTGATCGTATTTCGATGGATTTTCTTTATCATCGAGAGGGAAATTATCCGTCATTGTATTATCGGCAAATGACGGGCGACAGGATGGAAGAAAATCGGCTTTCGTCGTCTGTGAATCATTCAAATGATGCGAATGTATGACTAGAGTACATGATTCACATTGTAGAAGTGTCGATTGATATGTTGATTTCCGATCTGCACAGGAGACATAGGCACATGATTGAACAACCAATGGATCATCGGATCTGACGGGAAACCAACAGTGAGATATAGGTTGAGCACGATCGCTCCAATCGACTCCGTATGAAACGGAATTGGTGTTGCTGGATTCAGACGACAATGTCGATGACCTTGATGGCATGGCTTGCGAGACACTGAAGAATAAAAAAACATTCTATCATGTTTCTCTAACGATCCGCACTCTAAATACTTTGTCTGATTTGAGACGATGATTGATTCAGGTTCTATTGGTTGTTCGTCTTGTCTTGGTGAGTATCGATCATGATGAGAAGATGGTTGAGCATCTACAATATAATCAGTTGATGATGGAAACAAATGAAGCAGCTCATCATCATAATCATCTGTATAATTACCTAATAATGTGTAGTGATTGAATGGCGATGAAGATAGATTGGACGTATCAGATGAGATCGTCGATGATGAAATCGATTTGTTTCCTTGTACATTGTCTATTGATTGGGGACTATCATTCAAGTTCAATCGATGTAGGTCATGTTCAAGTGGATTTCGAGTGTGTTCTCGATTGCGTTGATCGATATCAATCGATCTATCTGTCTTCGTGAAAATATTACAATTGCCCTGTTGACTATTGTCAGCAGAACTTGAATGAGTGATCGGATTATCATCGGTGGGCAAAGTCGATGCAGTTAGCGCAACAGATGACAATGTCGTCATGATCAATTGTTGATATTGGAGAATTTTCTTTGTAGGTAGAGGAAGACGAAAGATCTCTAAAATTCGATCAAAAATCTAGAATCGAACCAATACAGTCGAAATTAAACATACAAGAGAAAGACGAGCATGAATAACTTAAATCTTTATGTCGTATATCGATATATTCAGAATCGAAGAACTAATCGATTATCACCTTGGCTGTCGCTATGTGACATGTTCTATTCTGACACCAACGGGCACAACTTACAATCACATGTTGACGAACAATGGAAAAGAAGATGACGATAAAAGGGTGATTGTCGCATATATTTTTCTCACAAGAAAACAGTAGCGTCGTCAACATTTCTCTTCTTTTTGTTTGAGAGCTCTCTGATAGAATAAAATTTATACGTAAATTAAACGTAAACATCATAAGTGCAACAATGTAGCTCAGGACGCATTATTGACGAATGAGAGATAGACTTTTTTGCTGCGCATGTTTATCTTTACATTATTGATAGCTCACATGCAGAAGAAACAGCACCAAATGAGAAATAAATGAACTCGAGATTTTCTCTCTCTCTCTCGTTAGAATGCTTATTTGAAGCGACATGATCAATTTTTTTTATTGGTTTTTTTATGGGCTCTCTCCAAGGGAAAGACAGCGGACTCCCAGATTCCATTAGACTCCGAACACATTTGGAGTCCCGAAGTCTCTGTTAACTGATTCATACGTTTCTCTTTCGCATATGATTATTAATGGTAAATAACATGTTGAACTATGAAAAATCATACAGATCTTTGAACCAATATTATTGAAGTTTCTCTTAGATGTTCAGTCACGGAAAGATCATTTCACTTATTGTTGACATCTGGCATGATGATAAAGCTACACCTATAATACAGTAAAGATCTAAAAACGAAAAATATCTCAATGTACTAGGATAGCCAAAGAAAGAATAAAATAAGAAAAAAAATTACACGATTCGAGCTATAAAAATTTTAGTTGGTTTGAGTTCTTTTTTTGTTACAGATTTTGCGATAGATGAAGACCAGAAATGTAATAAAAAGAAATGGAAAGAATATTAAGTCATTTTTTAGTAAAATATCTCTGATTATCTTGAACGTTTCTGCTTAAAATAAAACTAGCACTCCAATTCTCTTCATAATCTGACATTTTGTACTCCCTTTCTGTGCAATCATCTATCGAGTCTCTATTAATTCATACTCACATAGAAAATTTTGGTACCATCAAATGATTTACTTACATTTGTTTCTGACTTTGCGAATATAAAACTCATATTTTTTTAAAATACTAGAATAACAATACTATTACGAAGTATTTTTTTTGTCTAATAAGGACCTTCTTAAGGTTAAATGCCACAATATAGATATACTGTTCGAAAAAAATAATTGCAAAAATGTTTGTCAGGCAAATTTATTCTCCAGAGTCTGCTGTTACAAATAATGACAAATTTAAATCTATAAGACTTGCTTCTTCTAAGAAGTAAAGATTGATATCTTTTCTCCTTTCTTTGCACAAAAATATTACTCCGAAATTATTTTATTTATGCATATATTTCTGCGTATGAAACTGTCTATCTAATAATTCACGGACTTTTTGTTACTATTAATGTATCGATAATAATATTAATAATTTTAAAGGAGATGAAAATGCAACTAATGTGGGCGCGAACAGTACTCACTTTCACATCTTCATCATATCATCCATAGATAATTAACTGAGAATCTGCATCATCAATTCAAAAGCTGCAATAAGCATCTATTATTTTTTGGGAATGTATGCAAAACCCGATTATTTGATGCAGACATGTAACATTGATGGAAGACAGACAAACTCATAGTCTTAGTAAACCATCAAAACCTAGTAAGACACATAATAAAAAGTTCCTCTCTACCTATTGATGACGATGCACTAAGTACCAAACAAGAAATGTCCACGAATATTCGTTATTTTAGTGGCTTTTGTTGCAAAAAACTAATTTGAGTATTCAGATATTCGCAAATATACTCCAACAAGTTTTACTCAAATAAGCATCCGAAATGAAGGTTTATTTTCCCATCCTATGTTCGTACACATTCACGTCTACGATAATATTCTGACAATAGCGATTAGTCTTTGGATGATGATCATAAGAGTGAAAGAGCATGGAGAAAACAATGTGCAAAAAATCAGAAATTCAAAGGAACTGTTTATTTAACTAAACAGTGTTGAAAACATTCTTATTTGAAGATGAAAATAGAATGATGACATAAAATATTTGCGTAAAAACCGTCTATCTAGTTGCTCTTGTACAAACAGCTAATATCGATTGATGAATAATAAATTGGTTTGAATCATTCAGATGAACAAAAATTAACAAAGTAAAATATTCCTTACTTATACAGTTGTCTTTTTCTTCTGAATCGAATAGCATTGCTGTTTTATTCGATGAATAGCTTTTGAATGAGTTTGGTGCGATGGAGACAGAAGTTGGCAAAAAAACACATATTTCTAGCAAAGACTTATATACTTTAGAAAAAAAATATTTTCTTTCTGACGTTTAAATTGATGAAAGAGAGCTTCTTAAAACAATTTCCTTAAACAGTCATAAGGTTTTACGCATGATACTCTTGAGAATTCTATTAGTCTTCATGGAACTCTAAGGGGTTCCAATGGACTCGAGTTCACTGTTTTTCCCTTTAGCTCTCTCTCTCATTCCGAATAAATGCTGTCGATGTACGGCTTTGCAAAACCGACTAGCTCACCTGTTCCTTGCCGTAGCTTCTGGTTGAATTAATAGGAATTCACCAAAACGTTTACAATTTTCGTCAGTGTATCACCAACCCATGTATACGAATAAGAGAGGACCGCGCATATGAGTAATGGATAGTAGATAGAAGTTCGTTCTTTCTTTTCGATAGACAAAGGACACATACACTAGAAGAGAGAAAAGTGCATGTTTTGTTTTACTCATTCTTCTGTGATACCGTCAAGCAAACGCAACACAACCATATGTAACTCTATATAGATTAGAAAGTAGCAAAAAAAAACAAAAAAAAACACAGTGAGTAAATATTTGCAATGAAAGAGTCCAAAAGCTACAATAAATGCCCTTATTAAGACTTGTTACTGATCGTAAAATGTCTTGACCCGTTTCAATACGATTCGGTTGATGCAATTGGAGAAAAACAGAGTGCATTTCTCAGACAAGTTGTTACAACAATAATACGAAATATTTCGAACGATTTAAGAAAGAAATAGAACACCTGACTCCAAAGATCCACTCGGTACGGAAAAGTCATGAGTATTCTTTCCAATTGAAAAATGACATTCAATCAACTGAAACTGCACTCTGATGCAACAAAAATGCTACCAATGCTGAGAAAAGATCTTCTAATTAGAAGCAGCAAATTCGAAACTATTTCATTTGGAAAATATTTTTTGCGAATACACTGTTAAACGGACAGATCGATAGGATTACACATGAAATTTTATATGAATATACTAAAGTCATTTGGAGTAGTTCGATATGACAGAGCCGAACGATGATTGTGTGAACTGATCAAAAGTGAATCATACCTAAATGATTTTCTGTTTAAGCCCTATTAACTCAAAGAATGCCTATTGTAAAATATTTTTCCCTCGACTGAAGGGAGGGTCATATGAAAAAAACTCAAAATGGGTTCGTGTGTTTGTTTGTTTGTCGGGGTCAAAAAAACATTCGGATCAAAAGAACATCCTACCGTGCACTCATACTTTCACTATGACCCATCAGCCAATCAGGGGTTTTCGAGGGTGGGCTATCCACCAATCATATTTTTAGGTTTGTTGGATTCGACCAATCAGGGGTTTTCGAGGATGGGCTATCCACCAATCATATGTTTAGGTGTGGGTGTGGGTGTGGGTATGGGTGTGGGTGTGGGTGTGGGTATGGGTGTGGGTGTGGGTGTGGGTATGGGTGTGGGTGTGGGTGAGAGAAAGATAAACACCCACACACCCACATCCATACCGACATCCTACTCACCCACCCACCCCCACACCTACCCACACCTACACCCACATCCTCTGATGTGGGTGTGGATGCGAAACGAGAAGAGATCATCATCAACACCCAACATAGGAATCGAATACGAAAACAATTGAGGAGAAACATGCATTAGTAACAGATAGATTCGAATTGATCCACTGTGTTTACTGTTTTAATCCAGATGTGAATTATTTTTTTTTAAATCGATGAAACTGAACAATGTCTACAAGTATTGACTCGTATGTAGTATTTCACTTGACTTAAATAAATTTTATTTAAATCTGACAGAGAATCATACTCAAATAAGATTTGATTATAATTATTACCCTCAAATATTTTCAAAGCTTCACACATACACATGATTGAGTACCCGTACGTACACAGGCTGTTTTTTTACAAAATAAATTTAATAGTTTGCCAATGAATATTTATAATAAACTATTGGAGCAAAGCTTAAAGGAATAAAATATGACACATGATAAAGTGACGTAAATTTTCAATAGAGAAAAGTCACAAGAAATCTTTTTATGTTTTACAATTCTAATACAACGTTAATTGTATCGGTGTCATGAATGGTATTAGTTCTACAATATCAGATCAAGCTGAAAAGTAGATCAAAATGATTTATCTGAAATGAAAGTATCCTTCGTAATAGTTCGACCATTGACTTGAATTCAATAACTAAGTCTATCAAGAAAAATATAGAGAGGCTTTTAAGATACCGAATATTGTCTATTATTCATATCTGCTAACAGATAATAATTTAAAATCTAGCTATTATACTGTAACGCTCTGTTGTAAAACATATGTTACAAATATTGTTAGATTTTCTATTGTTACACATTATTTTATTTCTGTTTTATTTATTTTTTTCAAAGATCATTTTTTTGAGAAATGTAGTTAAAAATACAATTTACAACTCTTAATGTTCAATACGATAAGATTAATAAATATATTTTATTCTTGTCCTGATAAGTATAAAAATAATTAGTTTTTCTTAGTAAATTGATTTATTATTTTATTATATTTTGTTGATATAATTCTCTTTTAACTTATCAAAAACTTATATTTATTGACCCAATAATTGATGGTCTTGCCCTTTGAAGACGGGTATTATTAATTTATGCAATCAGCACAACCACCCAACTTTGTAAAACCGCATAGAAGTCATGCTGACAACCACCCACATCTTGGAGAGTTATGCACACAAACACCGACAACCATCCACTTTGTAGGAGTTCTAGAAAAAATAAACCATCAACAAAGACCAAAAAATGACCTCTCTCAACACAACCACCCAGAATCTCTCTTATGATCCACACAAGCACTCGAACTTGTCCTGACAATCACCCACAGAACTCCATAATCTATATTCTGACCCGAATAAGTGCTACCACCGAGATACTTTTCTTAACAGTCTGTCCTCTGGAAACATATAAGACCGATCAAAAAAATGACCCCTCTCAACACAACTACCCAAAATCTCACTTATGGTCCGCATAAACACTGCAACTTGTCCTGACAAATACCCACAGAACTCCATAATCTACATTTTGACACGAATAAGTGCTATCTCCAAATAAATTTTCTCTAGAAACGTCTCTTAAGATAAAGAAAATCCTTAAAACAATCTAATACAAAATTACCAAATGTTTTATGCTTTTTTCTTTTTTTTATGCGTTTTTACTTATTTGAAGAATTTTCTTTATATTAAGAGACGTTTCTAGAGAAAATTTTGTTAAGAAAAGTTATTTGAGGATATAGCACTTATTCGTGTCAAAATGTAGATTATGGAGTTCTCATACTATGGGCTATTTAATTTCAGTCTGAATTTATCAAATAAAAATAATACTTGATTTCAAACTGAAACGTGAGTCTAGGAGTGAGGGAGGGGGGTGACTGAGGGTGTGGGTGTTGGTCTGGGACCCACACACACACCCACACCCATGGTGCGGGTGTGGGCGCGCGAGTGAGGGTGAGGGTGTGCTTGTGGTTTTGTGTACTATAGGCTTTAGTCCCCTGCACAAGGGACTAAGCGGGGACTAAGCTTTTTGTGGGGGGGACTAAGGGGGACTTTGCAGGACTAGGGGGGACTAAGGGTTTTTAGTGAGACTACGTAGTATCAAGCGAGAAAAGTGTGATTCGGAAGAAATTGGTGTGGTTTTTTTGATTTTGGAATTCAGTTTGAAATAAAAAAGCCCATAGACTCGGAGTTCTGTGGGTATTTGTCAGGACAAGTTGCAGTGTTTATGCAGATCATAAGAGAGATTCTGGGTGGTTGTGTTGAGAGGGGTCATTTTTTTGATCGGTCTTATATGTTTCCAGAGGACAGACTGTTAAGAAAAGTATTTCGGGGGTAGCACTTATTCGGGTCAGAATATAGATTATGGAGTTCTGTGGGTGGTTGTCAGGACAAATTCGAGTGCTTGTGTGGATCATAAGAGAGATTCTGGGTGGTTGTGTTGAGAGAGGTCATTTTTGGTCTTTTTTGATGGTTTATTTTTTCTAGAACTCCTACAAAGTGGGTGGTTGTCGGTGTTTGTGTGCATAACTCTTCAAGATGTGGGTGGTTGTCAGCATGACTTCTATGCGGTTTTACAAAATTGGGTGGTTGTGCTGATTGCATAAATTAGTAATACTCTTTGAAGACAAACAAATAATGAATCAATGAATCGACAACTATATTAGCATGTGCATCAAAATCATCGAATATAAAAAGTATTCTGACAACAATTTTTTTATTAAAAGAAATATGTTAAATGCAAGCTTCTTTTTTTTCACAAAGACAAGTTTTAAACTGATCTATTTAAAGAAGTTCAAATGAATCAGCATAAAAGTTCATCTGTTTGATGGAGATTAAATACTCTTATTGGTCTAGAAAGCTTTTTATCCTAACTCCATGTTTATCGAAAAAACATATTCAAATACTTATTATAAATAATATTTCTAGTTTTTCTACTGAGAATGCAGGTGTGGATGTATGTTCTCTTCACTACACCCATACCTACACCCTAGGTCGGCTCATTAATAAAATTAATCGTTTATTTTCAAATCTTTAATAAATAATATATACATATACACAAGCAAAATCTTATTCAATAGTTTTCATTGGCTTTGGCTTTCTTTTCTTATCTATAGTGATATTGTTAGATAAGAATAGTGACTGACATATATCAACATCGCAACATGCAATACGATACCTGACTTCGTTGTATTTTGTCGTTCTAGAGTCTGCGTGTCTTATTTTTTTAAAAGATCTTTGGTTTCGGACATAATCAATGAGTGATTCAAGTGAAACAAAACAAGAGTGCTGTTTAAATCCTCTAGATTCTGCTCGTTTTATAATGAAACGCGCTCGCCATGTTTCAATCAATCATGCAATGCTTGAAAAATTTTCTAACATGGTTGATTTTATTAATTTTTTTTGAAAATCTTTGATAGGAAATTTTTCTTAAGGTATGTTCTGCATTAATGAGTGGAAAGTATGCAAATAATATTGCATCTGATCCAAATATTGGTCCAACAAAAGAAGATGATAAATTCATAATTGACTGGTTTGTATAACAAAATTATATTGTGCTGTTATTTAACTGAAAACTTCGATTTTCCAAGGACATTTTTAATAGATACACTAAATTTTTCATTTTGGACCGATGACAAGGAAAATGAATCCTATGTTCGTAAATATAAAGACAAAATTTATTGCGGTTCATTTGCATTGGCTGTGTCAATTAATCAAGCATTGGATGTGAATAATTAATTTTCAGTTTTTTGAATATTTAATCTGTCAAATTTTGATAATTCATAGGATGGAATTGATATTCTTAATGCTGAGTATTATAGTCGTATAACAATGGATGAATTGGAAAATATTTTTCGATCATCAGTAAATTCGTCTAGA